ATTTATTCATACATAACAAAAGTTATAAATTTTTAAAACCCAACTTGTTCAATTTTTTTAATAACCTGTTCTTTCAAATTGACATATTATTAATATTATGTTAAATAAAAATATAGATGTTGTAAATTTATTTTTGATGTATTTTTTATATATTTTGGTTAATCATGCACATATTGTTATTTATATTCACACAAGTACTTATAAATATTCAAACATGATTTGTTCATACATAAAGTTATAAATACTTGAATATCACTTTTTTATGTATAAACAAGTGATATTCTCATATTTATAAGTGATTGTTTAAATATAAACAAGAATATATTCATGATTAACCAAAACATATGAAAATGCTTGAAAAATAAATTTAGAACATATATATTTTTATTTAACATAATATTGATAACATGTTAATGTTGAAAAACAAGTTTGAAAAGAAAGTGAACAAGAAGGGTGTTAAAAATTTAGAACTTTTTTATGTATAAACAAGTGATATTTGAATATTTAGAAATGATTGTCTAGATATAAATAACAATATGTTCATGATTAATCAAAACTCATGAAAATACTTAAAAAATAAATTTACAATATATATATAGCATAATGTTAATAATATGTCAATATTGAAGGAACACGTTGTTAAAAAAAAAATTAAACAAGTTGGGTTTTTAAAATTTATAACTTTTTATGTATGAATAAGTAACATTTAAATATTTACAAGTGATTGTTTGAATATGAATAACAAGATATTTATGATTAATCAAAACTCATGAAAATACTTGAAAAATAAATTATAACTTATATATTTTTTATTTAACATAATATTGATAATACATTAATATTGAAGGAATAAGTTGTTAAAAAAATTCAATTAGTTAGATTTTAAAAATTTACAACTTTTTTTATGTATAAACAAGTATTGTTTGAATATTTTCAAGTGATTGTTTGATATGAACAACAATATATTTATGGTTAATCGAAACCCATAAAAATGTTGAAAAATAAATTTACAACATGTAAATTTTTTATTTAGCATAATATTGAGAATGTGTCAACATTAAAGGAACTAGTTGTTAAAAAAATTGAACAAGTTAGATTTTAAAAATTTATAACTTTTTTTTATGCATAAACAAGTCATGTTTTAATTTTTGCAAGTGATTGTTTAGATATGAATAATAATACATCTATAACTAACAATAAGTCACATAAATGTTTGAAAACTAGTTATAATATATATATATATATATATAATATTTTGTTATATATAATTAAAAATGCTTGTTGATTCAATGGCAACATATCTTTTAAACACCCTAAGGCCCCGTTTGGTATGATGGAATAGTTTTTGATGGAATTGGAATTGAAATTGGAATCAGAATTGAAATCAGAATTGGAATAGAATTGAATTATAAAAGTATGTTTGGTATGTCAGAAAAATTAGATGGAATCCTTGCATTACTTTTGTTTGGTATGCAAGACATGAAAATGGAATTATACTTAAAAGACAAAAATACCCCTATATAAAAATTAAAATAAAACATAATAAAAACTTAATTGTGTACCAATTTTCTTATGTATTTTATATATTAATAAAATATTATATAAATTATAAATTATATTTGTAACTATTATTCACTAGCTTGGGCCAAACAAAAAGAGATCAAGGTATCAACTCTCCCTCGGCCCCTTTCTTAAATTGACAAGCTGTTAACCACTCATTGGTGCCAAAAGCTCCAGTGGCAGGTGGCCAATGATGGAGGTCTAGCCTCTGGGTCGTGGCCTATTCAACAACAGCAACAAAGCGTCAATGAAGGTGGGAATTTTTTATTATCTAAATCAATGATATGTTAGTAACTGCACCAAAAATATTAATTGCAATTGAAACCTTGGGCTTACATAAGTGTTTCAAAAACTTTTGGGCTTTATATGTGATCAATTTTGCTTCTGAGGGCCCAAGTAGAGTTCCTCCCTTAAAATTAATTATTTTAGCCTTGGTTTGAGTTTAATTATTCTTAAAACTAAAAATTAGACTAGTCATTTCACCCATCAAAGTACTACATTATTAGAAAAATTAAAATTAGTGACAAATAAATGATGACAGAATGAAATCTATCACTAAATATAACAATTAATGATAGAATAGTGACATAAGTTAAAATCTATCACTATTTTATCAAAATATCAAATTTAGCGAAAGATTAATTTTTGTCACTAATTTTCATTACTAAAATATTGTATTTAGTGACAAATTTGTGATGAACACAATATCGGTCACTATTTTAATAAAATTTTGAAATATAATAGCAAAATATTATCTTTCACTAATATCCATTTTTTAAATTGTAATGATTCTAGACTCATGTAAAAACCAAAATTTATATCATTAAACTTTTGAATTATCAAATCTGTTACATTTCAATAAAAATGGATTTGTTAAAATTTTGTTAGTGGAATATATACACATAATAGAGTATAGTTTTTATCAATGCATATTAGTTTGTAAATGTTGTATCATTTGATAATTCGATACACAGTGATAGTCTTTTAATGTTGTCATTTTTGTGTAACAGTTGCAGTATTTAACTTATTATATCATTAGCATGTATGTATACATATTATATACAAATTATAAATTATTAAATTAAAAAGTGGTATATATATATTATTTTCTATTAAATATATGTATTTTTACATTGAAACATATGCATTAAGTATAAGTAGTCGAAGAAAATATTGAATATATTTAATTTAAAATTAATTAAATTAATAATACTATGAATTTAAAACATAAACAATAAATAAAATAATCATATGGACTGAAAAAGAATCGATGTTTTCACCTTGTCCACGGTTTTGGCTTTTTTTATTTTTTGACAAATTTTTCTAGGCATTAATTTGTTTGGGATTAAAAGTTCCATTACTATACATTTTATAATTTTTTATTTTAAATATAATTTTTTCCAATCTAACATATAAGCAACTTAATCATTGTAACAAAAATTATTTTTTCATTTTTCATGCGATATTTATTTACCCATATTTTTGCATGGAATACAGGGGTACGTCTATATATTAAAATTTGAAGAATAAAATTGCAACGTCTTTCTGGTTCAATTGGCAAAACAAGAAGGGTGGGTGGCAAAGGAAACGTGAAAGAAGGGAGGAAGAGGTAGGTGAATGTTGGACAATAGTGACAAATATAATAATTTTATGAAAAAATTACATTCAAGTCAAAAAATTATTATAAATTTATAAAATACTTTTAATTCTTAAATCTTGTGTATGGACAATTTTAATTAAGGATATTGATAACTGAACAGGTCATTTATAGCTTACTATTATAAGATATTATTTTTTTATAAGTTATAAATGGTCATTATTCAATTATTAATATCCTTAATGAAGTTGTCAATAAATAAGATTTGAGACTTGAGAATATTTTATTAAATTTATGAACCTCTCGATGATAAATTTTTTTATCTAAGACCTTGTCCCTAATTTTTTTAACAATGGAATCAATGAAAGTAATCAATTAATTAATACTGACAGATATATTTATTTTAATAACGCATAATATCCCTCACAAAAATAATAATGGACGTATTTCCGTTACATTGATTAGCGATGTATTCTTAACGAACTCAATGACAAAAATTTCTATTACTAAATAGAAATTAATGATGGATTTATCTCTCACTAATATTAATTTTTTTAGAAGTGATAGTTCAATAATTAATAATGATCAAAATTATAATTAAACAGTTATAAACAAAGCATTTTATAATTAAACTAATTAAAATATTAGTTTAACGGTTTATTTATAATATTATTCATTGTCATTTTTTGAAGCTTCATGCAAATTAGAGGAAAATAAATTAAGTCCCCACGTCACTGACAAATGCGAAGAAAACAAAAGAATATTTAATGCGAATTGACAGATGGGTCCCATCCTCATGTACCAACTGTTTAATCTTGTCGATTAATGTATCTTCATTTCAGTCAACAACAACAAAAAAAAAAAAATGCGAATTGACAAAATTGCTTGCGGTGAATCCCACTCATGCAATAAATTGCAAGGTACATAAAATTAAATTAATTATTGAATCGGTCATGATATTGGGTTACGAATTAGTGATTCAATCAAGATTGAACTGAAAGTTGAACCGGTGGCAAACTGATCATGATTAAAATAATACAATTTAAATAAAAAGACATTAATTATAAAAACATTCAACCAAATCCAACCATTTAAAAGTCTGACAATAATAAAATACAACACTTTAAATATCTATCATTACAATTATAACCCCTCAATCTCAAAAGTTTATAGAAGAGATGAAGATAAAGCTGGAGAAGAGATGGAGATTAAGCTAGAAAAGAGATAAAGACAACAGAGACGGAGATAGAGATGTAGAAAAGATGGAGATAGCAGAGATAGAGATAGAGCTGGAGAAGAGATGAAGAGTCAGAGACTAAGCTGGAAAAGGGATAGAGATAGCAGAGACAGAAATAGAGTTAGAGCTTGGAGAAGAGATGGAGACTGAGCTAGAGAAGAGACACCGATTAGGTTAGGGCGAGAGAGGAGAGACACAGATGAAAAGTCGAACTGAATGCTGTTTGGAAATCTGGATTGGACTTAGCGTGCTCTACCTCTAATTTTTTATTTTTTGATTTCAGTTTCACTTTTTTTATTGTTATCTTATTTCTGAACTTAACGCTCTGAAAAATCAAAAATGAAAAAAAATCCCTCAAAACTATGTCGTTTTAAGGGTTTTGTTTGAAAAAGTAATAACCCGATTAACCCAGTCAACCCACCTAGTTATTCGGGTTATACTGGGTTAAACCCGGGTTGATCGGGTTACACCGATTCATTCCCTCACCGATTTAGGAGTAAACCCAGATCGGATAAGGGACCAGGTCACTGATTTTTGGGTTGACCCAACTGGTCCAGTCTGGGTTTTAATACTATAATAAATTGACATAATTTTAAAGATAATATATATTTTACTCTCAACATTTTAAAGAACAGCTTAATTAACAATTACATTCTCACACTTGTTGCACACAACATCCTCACACTTCACAACCTTATCATCACAACACTTCACAACCTAATCATCACAACACTTCATAAATGAACAAAATACATAGAAATTTTTACCTAAACTTTGTCGTCTTCATCAGTAGACAGGATGTTCTTGACGATGATGTCCGATGTACATGGATCTAAAAGTTCAAGCCATGTTTCTCCAGCTTCTCTTGAGTAATCATATTAAGTCGTTCAATCATTTCAAATGAAAGATAATTCTTCCAATCTCCAACTTCTCCACGCCTGAAGAAAGTCTTGTTCTCTTCTCCACTTGACAACTTTCCATTCTTATTCACTTCTAAATTGCTCAAATTCTCAAAACTACAGAGTCTCATATATCACTCGCAGTATCACCACTCTCTTCTTCCTTAGAAAATCCATACCCTATAAACTCAGCTATCTCCTTCAAGACCTTAACTGGCTCAGCCTTTAGCTCTTCAAATCTCAAGAACATTATCTTATCTGGCCTCTCCAAACTTGCTTCATAATACCCCAACATGTGATCCCAAAACGGACCATAAAGACTCACTCCTCTGCAAAACTTGTCAAATGTATTCTCAATGGAATTGAGCCCTCTGGTTTCTGGTCTTAATCTGTTTGTGAAGTGCCAAAGAGAGACAAATATATCCTTAGGATTTCTACACAAGTAGATTATCTTACATGCAGACCACTTCATAGACTCAGGTAGAGAAACATAAGGTAAGTGGCTTGAAAAGAGCCTAGGTGACGATAACAGACTCAGATCAGGCTTGGTTTTGTGAAGATACAGATCGAGCTCCAAGAATGGTACAAGAACATGAGGGTTAGTAGTGAGAAGAGGATGAGGATGAAGATGATTATTCAGGTTTGGACAAGAGGTCTTACGGTTCAGAATTGCGAAAGTGAGAGCTTTGAGCCACGTAGTGCCAGATTTGGGTGAAGTGATAAGGAGAATATCAGAGTCATGGGCTTGAAAGTGGTTCTGGCAATTGAGCACTCCTTGCATTTGCCTGGTGGTGTGCCAAAAGCCTTGATATTGGTGAAGCCGGTTCGCAACCCAGCCCGGTTCAGAGGGTAAGGTGGCAATGAGCTCTCGACATTCTTGAGAGAGGTCATCTTCTTGGAGGTAATCGGGAAGAACAAGAATGTCAGAGGGTTTGGAGTTCTCAGCAGGCATGGTTTTGCGTTGCTGTAGAAAGCGAGAGAAGTATAGAGAAAAGAATTAGATCAAAGATGAAGTGAAGATTGTGAGATTGGGAAATGGGTTTATATAACAATGATGGTAATTAAAGGAGAGGTTAAGTTGGAATTCACAGGTTATCGCTATCGATTGTAAAGAAACGGTGGCGGCTAGCTCTTTATCTCAATGATTTAGATTTAACAGGATTTTATTGTGTGCATGTATTTTCTTTTTTTGAAATTAATCCTATATAAGGTATAATTAACTACTACATATGATACCAATTCTAATGTGAATAGAGTTCCTATTCTAATATGAATGAAGTAGTGAATACTGGTTGAGCTTTCTAGGTTACCTGTTTAAATTCATTTTCATGGTTCAGGCTTTAAAAACTCGTTTTTCATGGCTCAGGCTTTAAAAATTGAAACAGTATAAATGGCTTTTAAACTCAACCCATTTAAACCTTGTAAAAATAGATAGGAGCTTGAATTATTTGTTTAAGCCCATATTTAATTTTATCCCTAAAATATAATATATTTTAAATTTTTAAATTAAATTTAGACTTTAAAATAGGTTTTTGTACTTTGAAATTATTAACATTTATGTTATTTATTTTTCATTTTTGAACATTGTAATTTACATTTTAGAAAATGAATATATAATATTATAATATAAAAATTAAAAATTTCTAAAAAGTGAAAATAAATTTAAAAAAAATGAGTTTATGGGTCTAGCTTTGGGCTTGATCAATAAAGGTCTAGTATAAAGAAATAACTAATTTTAAAATAACATGACTAGCTCATATAAGTCAAGTTCTTTTGTTTACCAGCTCTAAGTAGGATTTAAATTTTAATTCATCATATTATAAACAACTAGCCCTTTACTTTAAATCAAGGAAAAATTTCACTCAAGACCCTCTCACCATATTTAATAAAAAAGAAGACAAAAAAAATACTGATATATCATTGTGAGGCAGGGACACTAATTTGAGATTAAATTTCACAATCAAATGACAATATTGGCCCTCACTGTAAGAACAAAGAAAAAATTGTCCGTTAGCTCAACCATGACACACACCTCTTGTAAACATGTAGAAGATTAGTGATACCTTCATTTTAGACCTAAACTAATAGAATCTCCCTTAAGCGAGTGGGAAAATTTTACTCAGGAAAATTCTCATCTCACCCATCATCGCAGGCATATTTGATAAGCATAGACGATCCATTTAAGCTTTCCAAACTCTCAAGTCCGAAGATTAGCAACACCTCCATCATTAGAATTCCTACCCAGAATCTCCCTTGACCAAGTCACTGGCTGATCAGTGTTGTTATTCCCTCTGTTTAGATGCAAAAGAGGGTTTTATTGAGCATTTGATACTGGTATATGTTATTTTTATCGATATATGCGTTATATATCGGTATCTCCTTCTCAGCTACTCCTCTGTGTATATTGAAGACTCATATTGGTATATCCTATATATATATATATATATATATGTTACACACCAGTATCTCTTTTAGTTAGTCTTCCATATATGCTTGTTATGAAGAACAAGTAAAGTAAGAAAATTAATAACATGCGGCAAGGTAATGAACACCACATTGTAAGGTAACAAACAAGTCATTTAAACATCAAACCAATACTTGAAAATTAGTCAGTGTTTAAAAAATAAGTACAGTAGGGAAATTAACAAGTGCCATAAGGTAATTAACTACACACACTAAGGCAACTACCAAATAATTCAAATATAAAATTTTACTAGTAAGAGCATGTTCTACTAGTCTATTTGACTTGGAATTCTTTCAATCAATATTGTAATAAGCAAATGAGGTAAGGAAATTAACAACTATCATAAGGTAATTAACTACACATATTAAAGCAATGAACAAGTCATTCAAATATGAAATCCTACCAGTATGATCATGTTCTATTGATATCTTTTACTTAAAATTTCTTCAAACACATATTGGTATATCAGAGACATTTTGATATATCATAGACATACCAATATGAGCATGTTTTACTTGGAATTCTTTCGATCAATGTTGTAACCAACAAGTGTGGTAAGGAAATTAACAACTGTCATAAGGTAATTGACTACACACACTAAGGCAATGAATAATTTATTCAAATATGAAATTACACCAGTATGAGCTTGTTTCATCGGTATCTTTTACTTAAAATTCTTTCAAACACATATCGGTATATCAAAGACATACTGTTGTGACATGTATATTTTCTCTATCCAGTTTTTCGCATGTTACCCATAGTTCTTCTTTTATCAAATGATTCTTATGTAGGAACTTCGTCAGTGATGAAGGTGTCGGTGATCTTTAGATGCCATAATTCAAATCCTAAAGAGATTCATACCTCTATTTATATTTTTTATATTTTAAGATTTGTAATTATGATGAATAATCACTACTTGTAATTAATTATATATAAGAGTTGATGTAACGTTATCCCCAACATTACCAAACACATGGAACATAAGACAAGAAACACTGTTATGATAACTAAAATTTAACAAATCCAATATAAGTAGTTATCATAACACAAGGATTCTGTAAAAGTTTAAGAAAATCGAGATCTCGAGAAACTCTTTTTAAAAAGCTATTTGAGCTCAAACTATAATTTAAACTAAAGTATACAAGATTACAGAAGCATAGGAACCCCAAAATAGTCTTAGAAAAAGCAAATGAAACAATCTAGAAAATTTTAGATGTTGTACAGTGCCACGGTGGACTGCATAGAGGGACTGTGTCCCTCTCTATGCATTAAGCCACAGTGTGCTTGTCAATACAATGTGGCGCATGTTTGCTATCATGACAGCACTCTAGGGCCAACTTTCAAAGTGTGCCAATTTATCTTTCAATTTGACCGATTCAAGTATCCACACATAGCTCTTTGAGCCATCTAGCTATTAGCACCGATCTCACACCCAAATATTAATCCATTTGAAAGTTAGACACCCAAATATAAAATAGTCCATTTTCTTTCCAAAACAACTAGTAAGTTGCCTAAACTTGCATGCCAAGTGTCAATAATCATGGAACCACTTGAACTAACTCAAATGGACCACAAACAACCTAATTGTGCAGTTAATCACAACAATATTATCTCATGCAAGATTTGGCCATTAAAACCCAATTTCAACAAAATTTTAAAGGTTAAACATAATTAACAATAATCATTATTTTGGCCATCTAAACACACAACCAATACAAAAACAATACTTACATTAGTATTTCGACCTCTAACAGCCCATTACATCACAATTACAACAATCCAAGTCAAGATACCCCTAATTTATAATAGAATTCATGCAAGTGTTCTCAAAATAACATATTTTCCTAAGTTGGCATATGCATAATTAATTCGTTACAAAACCAAGAGAGAAAAAAAGGACTATATAAACACGAGTCCCCTTAATGCTTAGAAGCACCTACCTTCCCTTTGCTCCTATCTAAGCCTTTACGTGAAATATGTAACCACAGGGTGAGTTAAGGACTTAATAACTAAAAAGTCTAATCAAACTACTCGTGTGTGAAAACAAATAGTGAGTATGTGAAGCGGCACATAAAACACATAGGTTACACATACATTTATCTATTTATAAAATGATATGTATGATCACCACACCATCTTATACTTTTCTTCTATCTTTTGACTGAATCCCTAGGCTGACAACTCAAGAGGACCGAGTCTATATAACTGGACTGACCTACAACTCCGACAAAGAGCAACTTTGCCCATTATAGACTACAGATTCTCCCTATTCATGAATACTTGGGTGTCGATGCCTAATTTATCACACATAGTACTGAAACTTCCAAACAATATAAACTGTGCACCAAAGCCTCTAAAGTGCCAATATACCATATAAGTTTCCAAACAATGTTCCCAACACCACATTAAGGTGAACTCCCACCCTCTCAAAATAATCATGCCAAATATATGCTCAATAATTTCCACATATAACCATAACATGTAATTTCAACTAAAAATGATCACTTCCACTTAAATCATACAATCTCATAAATAATTATACTTGAATATAAGGTTTAATCTTTCAAATCCACAATGTTCAAAATACAATTTCATTCCACTTCACGTAAAGTTTTAAATAATAATTATTTTATATTAATACTAGACTAATACCAAATAAGAGCATTAGCTTTAAAAATAACCACATAACCATCCAAACACCAAATAGAGAGTTCAGACAATTTGATTACCTCAACTCTTTTGTCATTAAAAAGGGTTATCATGGTCAAAAAATGGCCTCACACGTGTCCACTAGCGTAACAATGCATGGTCAATATTTAATTTATAAGATTAAGCATTTAATCATTAATCCACATACTAATTAACCGCTTTTTAACATAATTTTGGGTACCCATTATACCCAAAACCTTAATTTAACTCAATTAACTCTCCTAACACACTCTATCAATTCCATTTAACACCCAAACACTTAAATAACAACACTACATTACCCACATTGCTCTTAATCTTTTAATTTCTACTTAGGGTTCGTTCAAACCCTATCTAAAAACTTCAAATCACGATAAAATCTATAAACCTAGGGTTAGATGCTTGATTTAACCCCCTATGACCTTAACTAAGCCAATAAGTTTGATTATAACCTGAGGAAAATGAAAATCAAGCCCTACCTCACCCTAAATCTTCATAAATTCATAAAAAAGGAGAGGGAGAGATGTAGGAAGCTTACCCAATAATGAATCTTGCTCCAAATGCTTCGAAATGGCTCGCAATGTCAAGCCCTAACAGCCTTAAGTCACTTACCATCGCCCTCTTGCATTTCCTCTTTCCCTCTTCTGGTTTTTGATCCAGTTCGCAAATCTAATAAGTGCAAATTTTGCTTGTCCACCACGGCGCATAGCACAAAGATGCTCGATACATTTTAAGCCTCTCTCCGTACCACCACCAGCTTGAATTCCAACCCAACCCTCTTCTAAGACTGTCTAATGATCCAATAACTATATTAGTCTTATTAAAATATTATTAATTAAAAATTCACTTGAATTTTACCAATCTACCCTTCTAAACACTTGG